TAGTTCCCTAACCAGGGATTGAACCTGAGCGCTTGTCAGTGAAAGGGTGGAGTCCTAACCACTGGACTGCCAGGGTATTCCCTGAAATTAAATCCTGACGTTAACATCCTGTAAGAGAAGAATAAAAAGTGTCTTCTGAGCTGAGGAAGCTTCACAGCTTGAGTGCCTTACTACAGATTGTTATGGGATAGAGGACAGTACCTACTTAATAGTGCCATTTCTATCATGCTTCTCACATTTGAAAAAGCATCAGTTCTCAGATATTTTAAAAGAAATTTGAAAGAGTATGCTTCTTTCTTCATTGTGTCATGTTTTCAAGTCCTTAATTAGTTTGTAAAACTTTGTGTATGAATGTTTCTGAATCATTGTTACAATCAAGGAATGTTTGGTTGTAACAACAAAAAGATTCAAGTAAAAAGGTAGGGAGAGTTGATAGCTTAAAAGGGCATTTCATTTCATTCAACTGGCAGCCTCCAGGAAACAGTTCTCTGGAACCAGCTGTCTTGTTGACATTTCTCTGCATGTCTGCTTTTCTCTTCTCATTTGTTATAAATTGACTTTCCTGCTCATGCATTCACTTGCACATGGCCATATCATGACCATCTCAAAATGATAGCCTAAGACCTAGGTCTTAGTCTACATGACTTCTGGTTGTTCTTCCCACAATTAAATGTACATGTTCTAATTCCAGATCCCCAGGAAAGAGTAATAAACTGCTTCAATCAGTTGTGTTCTGGAGGTACAGTTGGGACTGAGGGGACAGGGTCAAATGGCACAAAGGACGTTTGCCTTCCTGGGTTACGAGCAGGGCAGGTTTTCAAAGAAGAAATTATTGGCATCTCTCTCTTTTTTTTTTTAACCATTTAAAAAAATATTTATTTTTGCTACGTTGGGTCTTCATTGCTGTGCACGGGCGGGCTTTCTCTAGTTGCAGTGAGCGGGGGCTGCTCTTCATTGAGGTGCACAGGCTTCTCATTGCGGTGGCTTCTCGTTGCAGAGCATGGACTCCAGGCACACAGGCTTCAGTAGTTGTAGCACAAGGGCTCAGTAGTTGTGGCTCGTGGCCTCTAGAGTGCAGGCTCAGTAGTTGGGGTGCACGGGCTTAGTTGCTCCATGGCATGTGGGATCTTCCCGGACCAGGGCTTGAACCCATGTCCCCTGCATTGGCAGGCAGATTCTTAACCGCTGTGCCACCAGGGCAGTCCCTATTGGCTGGCATCTCTTGTATACATCATTAATAATTTTATTTTTTATATGTAATATGAGTAATTACAGAGTAAAGAAAGGGTTCTTCTTTTTAGTCTGACCATGTCTTTCATTCTACCTGTGAATTATGTGAGCACATCTCTCCTCTCTTGATAGTGGTAACTTCAGTGAGTGATCATAGAATGAGATCATGTTGACTTCTAGATAGAACCCCCTTAAATAAATCTATATTTAAGGTTTACTTATTAATTTTATATTAAATGTTATCAAATGAAGACTTTAATTCTACCTCTTAAAATTAAATATGACATTTATTTCACATTTTAAAATAATTAAGTCCATTCATGTTAACATAGACTTTTTTTTTTTTTTTGCTGTACGTGGGTCTCTCACTGTTGTGGCCTCTCCCATTGCGGAGCACAGGCTCCGGACACGCAGGCTCAGCGGCCATGGCTCATGGGCCCAGCTGCTCCGCGGCATGTGGGATCTTTCCAGACCGGGGCACAAACCCATGTCCCCTGCATCGGCAGGCGGACTCTCAACCACTGCGCCACCAGGGAAGCCCATAACATAGACATTATTTGACATTTTAAAATAAATAATTACATTCATGTCATATAGATTTTAAAACCTATTTTAGGATTTAATTCTTGTCCTTTGTACATTTATAGAGTCACTTCCTGTATAATTTTAAAATCTGAATTCCTCTTAGCATGCAGAATAAATAGATTATGATATACTGAAGGGCTAAGCTTCACTGTCTTGTGTCAGATTAATCCCTCATATATAGGTCATCACTTGTACTGACAGAAATATGGCTGCAATTCAGCAAAAAAGTGCAGTGGATAAGTTTTTTTATGTAGGATGAATCCTATGCTTCTTGACTGGTTGTTGTATAATTCTCCAAAGAAACGAACAAACAAACAAACCTCCATGATTTGAAAAAAAAAAAAAAATTGGTGATTATTTAACTAGGATTATAGTTTCTAGATTATTAAAATATGGGAAATATTGTTACTTCTGAAAATTAGCTCTTTTTTGGAGTTATTTTAATGAGGTAGCAGATCTTAATGTACTTCTTTCAGAGACTTCAAGGTCATATTGTAAAGTAAAACTGTGTGTTACATGCATACTTATAAAATCATGGTAAAATACACATAACATAAAATGTATCATCTTAACCGTTTTTAAGTGTACAGTTCAGTAGTATTAAGTATATTCACATTATTGTATTGCCAATCTTCAGAACTTTTTTGTCTTGCAAAACTGAAACTCTATACCATTAAACAGCTCCTCCTGATTTCCGCTGCGTCCTAGTCCCTGGCAACCACTATTCTACTTTCTGTTTCTATGATTTTGACTACTCTAGATACCTCATATAACTGAAATCACACAGTATTTGTCTTTTTGTGACTGGCTTCTTTCACTTAGCATAATGTCCTCAAGGTTCATCTATGCTGTAGCGTGTGTCAGAATTTTCCTTCCTTTTTAAGACTGAGTATTCCATTGTATATACATACATACCACATTTTGTTTATCCATCCTTTGGTGGGACACTTGGGCTACTTTCACCTTTTGGCTATTATAAATAATGCTGCTATGAACATGGGTGTACAGATACGTATACCAGAAAAGGAATTGCTGGACGATATAGTACTGTTTTTAATTTTTTTTAGGAACTGCTATGCTGTCTTCCATAGTGGCTGCACCATTTTACATTCCTACCTGTAGTACACAAGGGTTCCAGTTCTTCCACATCCTTGCTGACATTTACTTTCTTTTTCGTCCTTAATAGCCATCCTAATGTGGTGAAGTGGTAGCTCATTGTGGTTTTGGCTTGCATTTCCCTAATGATTAGTGATGTTGAGTATCTTTTCATGTGATTACTGGCCATTTGTATATCTTCTTTGGAGAAATGTTTATTCAGGTTCTTTGCCCATTTTTCAACTGGGTTGTGTTTTTGTTGCTGTAGAAGTTCTTATAAGATATATGATTTGCGAATTTTTTCTCTCATTCCATAAGTTGCTTTTTCACTCTGTTGATAATGTCCTTTGATGAACAAAACGTTTTAAATTCTGATGTAGTCCAATTTATTTATTTTTACCTTTGTTGCCTGTACTTTTGGTGTCACATCCAAGAAGTCATTGCCAAATCTAATGTACTGAGGCTTTTCCCTATGTTTTATTCTAAGAGTTTTACATAAATTAGGTGTTATGTTTTGGTCTTTGATCTATTTTTAGTTAATTTTTATATATGGTGCAAGGTAAGGGTCCAACTTCATTCTTTGGCATGTGGATATACAATTTTCCCAATACTAAAATCACTTGATTATATCTCTGAGGGTTTATATCTGGGTTGTCCATTCTATTCCATTGGTCTGTATGTCTTTACATACTTTAAAATAATATAGTTAATAAAGTTTTAGAATATAACATCACTTGTAAATTTGATAGTCCTTGTCTTTACTAACATGTCGATAGTTGGTAGGAAGCAAATATATTATCAGTTTTGGTTATTTGGCTTTTTAGTGAAAGCAAACCATTTAGAAACAGGTATGCCAAACAGTTTATTTTGGTAATCAGGCACAATGTCATCACTAATATGAGTTACTGTGGAACTTTTTGGGGATCTGAGAATGTCACAGAATAGTTGAAAAAGCTCATGCATATGTTCCTGAAGGAGAAAATGTGAACCTGTCAGTGCTAGTGCAGATGCTACGTAGCTGTTCTTGTTTGTGCCTCTATTCTCACTTTAGAGCAGTGGAAGTTCATTCATCATTCTCGTCTGTAGCAGAGCAGAAATATCAATTTATTGGAATATTTAATAAATACCCCCAGGTTCACAACATTTTGAAAGCACAACATTTGTAAATCATGGACACTCTTGAAGATGTCATGTATAACATATTCTTATTACTGTCTAAACTTGGTTTTCTACATATTTGAGTTAATTTTTGCAGAGGCATGTGACGTGGGAAAAATGGGAAATTTATCTAAGAACTAAATTTTGTTTAATTTTCACCTAGATAACTGGCAAACCTACCATCATCATCATTGTATAGAACAAAATAATTTTATTTATATCCATATTTTATCTTAATATTTCATTTAAAGTTTTACTTTTTAGTATGAACTATGGTTTGCTCACAAAGGACCTAGAAACAGTACTGAACTTTTCTACCAGTCTCTAGACAGTGGCCAAATAAACAAAAGGATATGGTAGATCAGAAAATGTGTTTTGTATTTCTGGTTAATGACTATTTACTAAAAAATCTGGAGAAATTGTTGCAATCTTGACAAAGCCATGTTTTTCTCAATATAATGTTTTCTTTAAAAAATCAGTTAACTTTTGATTATTATGCTAAAGAAAGATAGGAATATTAAAAAGAAAATTCGCCGGTAACTTTTCATCTCTTTTTAGTATGGTTCAGGTACTATGTATTACTAAAACTTTTCCAGAGCATATTGAAAAATCTAATTTGGGTTTCACCTCCTTTCTGTATTGTACCCTCTGGTAGTGGTACAGAGGAATAGGACGTAGGGAGAAAAATCCGAAGTATAAAAGAGTTCAATCTAATTAACTCTTAACTATAAGATTTAAATATATAATGTACCTCATATACAATATTTGAAAAAGATGTTGATTATTGTAGACATTTACAGTTGTAAAATATGTGCTACCTGCTAATGAATGGGGATCAAGAACTGTGAAGGGTCTGAGATTTTTACCCTACTTGCAAGACAACAAGTTATCAAACTTCAGTTTCATGCTGGTAGAAGACATGAGACTCTGGGTCAGAGACAAAAGAGAGTTTATTACTTACACCAATAGTTGCTAGAGTATCAACATTTTTTTGCAGGGTGGGCAATGGTTTCCTAAGTCCCATTCCCACAGGGTGATGTGAAGAGGGCCAGGTGACAGTTGCACACTCATTGGGCTCTGTAAAGAGTAGGAACTCTGAGCTTAGGGAATTCAAACCTTTTATAACAGGTTGTAAGCATATTGCTCCAGAACGAGATAGTATCTGTGTACCAAGGGGCAGTCAGTGCCTCATTATCAGTAATTCAAGAGACCCATGGAAAATTGTCTTCCAACAATGGGCCTGGGCTGAACTTTTCACTTAATAAATACTTTATTCATCATGCAAATTAATAATATAAACAGTATCACAAGAGGAGATATTTAAAATACTTGGGAGAACCAAGTTTAAATATCCTACTTTTGAAGCACCTAATAATGTACAATTTAAGGAACTTCAAAAATTTAAAGACTTTTACTTAAGATGACTTTGCTGTTATGCTGCATGTTTTTGAAACTAATAAAACTTTACTTTGAAAATACTCTGAATTTAAATGTTTTAACTAATTCATGTTATCTCTCCTCTTTTTAATTCATATAGGGAGATTTTAATCTATATCAGGCCATGAAAAAGTTTAGATGTGAAAAATGCGGGTTTTTTAAAAATAAAAAAACAAGTTTCGTATTTATACCAAACCGAAGTGAACCATTCTGAGAGAACCACCATCTCCGATTTCCTGAAAGTAAACAAATAGAAACAAATTAAAATCATGTTTAAGCAGAGAGTAAAAAATAATTGACTTAATATTTATATCTTTAATATTCTTAATTTAAATATTTAAAAACAGTGAAATAAATAGTTTAAAATGAATTGTATATGTGTAAACAAGAGAACTGTGTATTTATCTTACTCTTAAAATTTTGCAAGAGTGTTTATAAAAATCAGTGAAGAGAAATAACATATGAAGCATAAGACATTAAAGAAGGAAGGATAAGATGTTAGTTGAAATTTGGAAGCATCTGAAATGTTGCAAACTGTGGGTCTTCGTTTGTGATTCCACCTATTTGATTTTATTTTTAAGATTTATTATTTATTTTTATTTTATTTACTTTTGCTGTGTCGGGTCTTAGTTGTGGCACATGGGATCTTCGTTGAGGCATGCAGGCTCCAGGGTGCGTGGGCTATGTAGTTGTGGCGCACGGGGTCCAGAGCACGTGGATTCTCTAGTTTGTGGCCCGCAGGCTCTAGTCGAGTTGCGCGAGCTCAGTAGTTGTGGCACACGGGCTTAGTTGCCCCACGGCATGTGGGATCTTAGTTCCCTGACCAGGGATCAAACCCACATCCCCTGCATTGGAAGGCGGATTCTCTACCACTGGACCACTGGGAAAGTCCCCACCTATTTGATTTTACAATACTGTCTGTTCTAAAAGGTCCCATGTAGCATATATATATTTTTTTAATTAATTAATTTATTTATTTTTGCTCTGTTGGGTCTTCGTTGCTGTGCGCGGGCTTTCTCTAGTTGCAGTGAGTGGGGGCTACTCTTCGATGTGGTGCACAGGCTTCTCGTTGCGGTGACTTCTCTTGTTGTGGAGCATGGGCTCTAGGCACGTGGGCTTCAGTAGTTGTGGCACGTGGGCTCAGTAGTTGTTGCTCCACAGCATGTGGGATCTTCCCAGACCAGGGATTGAACCTGTGTCCCCTGCATTGGCAGGTGGATTCTTAACTACTGTGCCACCAGGGAAGTCCCAAGTATATATTTCTTAATTTTGATGTTTTACTGAGTATTTAATAGTGGCTCTTGAGATAATGGTTCATAGAAAAGATCATGTGTTTATAAGCCCTTTATAAAACTGTATGAAGCTACAAAGAGATACTAACAAGAATCTCATCCATTTCCCATTTCTTATTCTTTCTGTCTTTCACCTCTCCCCACCAACCCTATCAAGTATAGAAAAACAAAGGATTTTATGATAGGATTCTGAAGTTGGAGAGTGTTTAAATGTAAGACTAAATGTGAGTAATTTTATTTGAAAAAACAATACAGTGGGGACATATTTGAAAGTTTGGAGATAACCTAATTAGAGTTGAAATGGTAAAGGGGAAAGGTAAAGAGAGTAGGCATGATGGTTAATATTTAAACTAACATGTCATAACTGGAGACATTTCTCTTATTAAAAATTATTTAAAATTTTATTCCTTAAGCTATATCTTGAAAGTTCTTTTTACTAAGAGAAGCCTTTCAGTAAGTCATTACCTTATTCTATTTTAAGTAGTCATATCTCAAAGAAAACAGGTGTGGGGCTGGCAGGTAAGGGAAACTTGTATGTATGCATGTGCCTGTGGATCCTGATTTACACACACACACACACACACACACACACACACACACACACACACACA